ATAAAACACTTTCCACGAAAAACCAGACAACGCAGTTCGCTCTTTGCTAAAGTCTGATACTTGATTCGCTGAGTGAAACGAGACTCCGGAGTACTGCTTTTTTGTTGTTGTTTCCAGATGACGAGTCACAACATCTGGGATTTTAAATGGCAAGATTACCTCCGAACTAGGACCAGAAGCCTCAACTCATGACTACCTGATTAATTCATAAGCGAAATAAAACTAGTTCAGCCATTTGTCGACGTTTCCTTGATGCAATCTTCACCCAGCTGTCACGGGTTACGCGATCGTATTAGCATCTCGGTGGGTGGCGACGACTCAAACACAGAAACTCACCTGGGCGAGAAAATTTAATAGCCCGAGTAATGGGCGTCAGGTGCGGGGCTCAATCTGTTTCATTAACGCTCTTCGCATTTCTGAACCCTTGCCAAGTACCCTGCGCGGTAATTTTTTTCTTTTTCATTCCTAGTTAAGCCCTTTATTTCAACGTAATCCGGCGAACAAATGAAGAAATACCCATACAGATCTGCGCACAATCTTTTCGCGTTATGCGAGATTGACGGATTGCATGCGGAGAAAATCATGCTCTTTCGTCGTGGTTGGAGTTCCACCTGTTGTTCTTGTCGCTGAAACGAACGCTGTTCTTTGTGATTCTTTTCGTGATTTCACGACCATATTTGTCAATATAGAAAAAAAAGGAACATTTCACCCTCTAAATTGGTTAACGTGAAAGTGGAAAATGAAATGACAGATACGGGAGCGATCTTTGGGGGAGAAAATCCCGGGGCTTTGGTTGCCTCCAGCTGTGATCAAATGTGAGGTTTGGTTCATAAGTTTTTCAGCCTTGATCTTCCCTCGCAAGATTTTATTTTATTTTATTGGTATATGGGTACTTTTTGGAATTCTCCGCAGTAAACCTTCACTTGCCGTCACTTATTCGAGGAAATTTCTCACCCGCTTTGAAATTTCGAGGAGAATCATTATGAATTTTTACCTCTAGCATCTGAATATTCAGTATATTCGCCGGCATATACTGAAACAATGGAATGCGTCAATTAATTTGAACTGTTCCACACTGTAAATACCTCTGCACTGACAACCTTTTTCTCATGAAAACATTCACCGAAATCGGTTTTGAAGATGACAAATGTGAGGTGGCCCCGAAATTTCAATTATTGAATGAGAAGATCTGCAATGAATATTTAAATTAAAGAGATGCATAAGCAAAACTAACGAAGGCTCACCTTAATTATTGCTGATCTTAACAGCTTCTGGAGGATTCTGATAATTCCGGTAATCGGTTATGCCAAAAACCGTCTCCATCCAGGGTAAAAAGTACTGAACTGCGCGTTCAAAACTTTCGTATTGTCCCTCGTATTGTTTTTTTTTTTCGGAATCCCTCCTTCCTGATCCTTCCACACTTATATGGGATAAACGTGCGAGATGAACGTGTTCAATATTTTTCGGCCATCTTCTTCCTGCTTTGGCAGCAGAAAAATAACCGTGAAAATAAAGCACCTCTCCAACATTTGTCTCGCGGCCGGGAAAATTATGGGGCGTGAAACGCGAAACTTTCGTATTGTCCCTGGTAATGTTCTGTAATTTTCATCGGATCAGCTCTGAAATTATTCCTCGTCAAGAGGGCCTCTCTTAGTAGGATTTTGACCCAAATCAAAGGCAAGGAAATATTTCCTGCGTGGGCTTCTACGAATCCGGTGAGCCGGAAGTGCATGCGGCACTCCTTCATTCTTCGTCGAGTGGTATGTGATGACCAAGCACGTCACCGGAGATGTAGAATTTTCTCGTGGAATACCTGGGTGCAGTTTTGGATCGCTTGTCAAAAAAAAAAGAAGAAACGCTGTAGGCAGATTTTGCGGTTTTCTCTCTCTCTCTCTCTCGTCTCGCCCTATTGTTCAATTGAGACAGCCCATGAAGGAGAAACAAATTTCAGAAAATTGCCGCGTAATCAAGCGGTGGGGTTGCGTTTGCTGACGAAAATTTCGGCCGTCGCTCGAACGCTGTCCCAATCTCTGAAAAATAATGAATACCGTACTTCGTTGCCGTCCAGCTTCAGGTGGTAGAAAGTTGTTGCAATTTTCCGTGATGACCATTGAAGAATATAATGCAGGAAGAAAAAAAGAAGCTACAAAATCACCTTTTGCGTATGATGTCGTGAAAAAAGGAGGACTGGGTGTGAAAAAGCACGCACGCGGATATTTCAGCTTGGAAGCGTTGATCAGCGTTGCTTGCCATCGAGCGAAGAAAATTGTGGGAGACAGTTTAAAAATGCATTATTTTCGCGGTTTGTCTTTTTTAAAATCATTATTTCGGAATCCCTCCTTCCTGGTCCTCCCATACTTGCGAGATAAACGTTTTCAATTTTTTTGGCCGTCTTCTTCCTGCTTTGGCAGCAACAAATAAAAAATAAATAAAGTGTCACTGCTGCAGAAAAATAACCGTCAAACTGAAGCTTCTCTCAAGATTTGTCTCGCGGAGAAAATCATGGGCATGAAGCTCCAATTTTCATCTCTCCGGAGCGCGTTCACTGTCTACTTTTACGGGCTTCAGTAGCTATTTTGATCTGAAAAATGTTTTGCATTAATAAGAGCAGGCATCGGAAGAACAAGCGTAAAAAGAGCTCAAAAATTCAAGCCATAGCTTTGTGTCATAATATTACAGCACGAGACACCAAAAATTGCTTGTTCCGATGAGTTTAGAAGCAAGATCTTTATGAAATGCACACGAAGTCCGGGGAGGCCCATTCAGATAAAAACAAAACCTAACTAAATGTTATTCAACATAATTTTCTTCGTGAACGCCTTGGAGGTTGTTACACGGATGTTGGGGGGGGGGGGTTATAAAAACCCGAAACATTTCTTTTGGAAATCTCCTGAAAGTGCGACTGCGTCGGAAGTTTATAACGAAGAAATCCAGTGAAAAACATCCGACACACGTGGGGGAAATATGGGCTTCTTCTCCAGGGATTATATTTTCCTTTCTTTATTCAGCATATTCTCTCCGCGAAACCACAGCAACGTTCGTCGACGCAGCGTCATGAATTCTTTTTTTTTTCGGTGTCTCCGCTGCTGCCGAACTTGTCATTACCTTCGTAGCTTATTCTTTTTTGTTCGAATTTATTTCTTTGTTTGCTTAGCATTTTTGATGGGGTTTTTTTTTTTTTTTGCACTATGCGCATTGCGTGGGAGCAAGGGAATGATGGGAGATTGCGAAACGGCGGCAACAGCAGCCGCACCGAGAGACGCGCGTGGAGTGAAAACCGCGGACCCTGTCATTACGTGCACACGATCCCGTTTCGGCTTGTTCCGAGATTTTTGTTTTCCGCTCCCCGGGTTCTGCCGTGTCGAATCACACTGTTCATTTCAGCTTCTTTCAGCGTTTACAACTTTACGTTTATGTTTACTGTATATATACTGTACTGTAATTGGGTTTTCGGAAAGAAATCGAGCATGATCTGTTGTTCCATGAAGTCGCGCGCTTCCTAATTACGAAACGGGCTTTCCCGGTGCTTTTGGTTTGTCAGGACAAGAAAAAAAAAGGATCGTCTGCACTAATTTTCGAAAGATGAAATTTGAAAATTTTGTTTTAAGGTGCGGCGAGAGATTGCAAGTTGCTTTGGCACTGAATTTTAAGTGCAATGTTTTTGTGTGTGTTTAAATTGAATGATTTAGCTCTAGAGCATGCAAATGTTTATTGCACACGTACGCACTGAAGACGGAATTTCCAGAACAGGTGTTCTTGTATTGGTGATAAAGTCCGTCCAACAAGTTGAAAAATGCGTACTTACTTAAAATAATTGAACTTTGGCTGGGCGTTTTTCAAATCGGCACCCGAATCTTCTCAAAGACTCCGTCCATGAGGAATTTTTTTTTTTCGATGGTGCCGTTCTTTCCGTGATTTGAGGTCTGCAGAAATTAGCGTGGCATATACGAGTATTCTTAAGGAGCATTACTTCTTAATTTTACCGGGAAAAATCGAGAGGAGCCAGATTTGATGGATGGGAAAGAATTGAAATTTAATTTGATTCCTTTTTATATGGTTGAAAAAATATGAACAGATTAACAGTACAGGTTTTGCATATCATCTGAATCGGAAATCGCGTCGGCGTGCCAGGAAATAATCTCCCCTCGTTTGAAAGTGTGTTACTTGGGATTCAAATGTTTTTCTTGTGAATTATTCTTCAAGTGTCTTACTTTTTTCTCTTTTTTTTTTCTTGGGAAACAGTTGTTGGATTACTTGGAGACAGTGTTGAAACAGGCAGACAGAAACTTCAAGGAAATCGAGGTGGAAAATGCTAGAATTCAGGATGAGCTCGCTGAGGCGCAAGCGCATGAGTACAAATAACGTGTGCATGCGTGACTTCTGCCTTAAAGGTCTTGTCCACAAGAACATAACCACTATTTCAGGCAGGTTGTTCAACTTTTTACGCATGAATGAATTTTATTAACTTGAAACCGACCCGCATTTTCAAATTGACACCCGAATCTTCTCAAAGACTCCGTCCATGATTTTTTTTTTTCGATGGTGCCGTTCTTTCCGTAATTTGAGGTATGCAGAAATTAGCGTGGCATATACGATTATTTTTTTAAGGAGCATTACTTCTTAATTTCACCGGGAAAAATCGAGAGGAGCCAGATTTGATGGATGGGAAAGAATGGAAATGTAATTTGATTCAGTTTTATATGATTGGAAAAATATGAAAAGATTAATAGTACTGGTTTTGCATATCATCTGAATCGGAAATCGCGTCGGCGTGCCATGAAATAATCTCCCCTCATTTGAAAGTGTGTTACTTGGGATTCAAATGTTTTTCTTGTGAATTATTCTTCAAGCGTCTTACTTTTTTTCTCTTTTAAAAAGAACCCTTTGTCAACAACCTAATGAACCTCTGTCACAACTTTGTCCGTCTGTCTTTGAAGTTCCTTTAGCTCCACCTTTTACGATCTTAAGTCCTACTCGAGCGACTCCGCGTTCGCGTACTCTGTCGAGTGATCCACGTGTGTCGACACGCCACTTTTCCATCGTCACATGAGGACGAGTTTCCGGGCGACGAACGACTCGTCATTCCCACCAACAGGTAAGACTCACGTGTTCTGACACGGGCACACAAAATATTTGGCTCAAGGAAACAGATCCGTTGGAATGTCAAGCTTTTCTTTCCACCTCGTTCTCCCACGAGTGATGAATATAAAAAAAAAAAGCACTTGGTTTCGTGAAACTGTTCGCTGATTTTAGATAGATCATTTTTTGCGGCTGAGGTTTCTTTTTTTTTTCAATGCAAGGGGATGTTGAAGCGTACTTGAGCTTGTCCTGAGCTTTTTCAGCTTCATAAATTTTTGTAGGGGGACTGGTTCGCTTTTTCCGTGGACTACTGATTTCAAAGGAAACGTAATTGCCGCTGTAATTACATTTCCGAGCTTCATTCAGGTTGCGGAATGGAACAGTTAGTCCGAAACGAGATTCGAAATGAGGAAAAATGAATCAAGTGACTCCCATAAATGTCAATGATTTATTGGAGCTCTGCGAATGAAAATCGCTGAAATGTGTAAAGAATCGTTAATTTTCAAAATTGTCCATTTTTCGCTTGCGCAATATGAGTTATTTTCCGGGACTGAAATCGGAAGAATAGATCTTAATTGGTTTTGAATTATATCATGGCCATCACTGTAGAGATTTACGACTTTTTTATTCATTGAAATGAATGGTGCCTTCATGGCAGTCGTTTTCTTAAATCAAATTTATCGGTTCGTTAACAGAATTGAGTCTTCAAAGAAAAAAAAATTTCCTTAATTTTTCGCTGTCTATTCACTCATGTTTGTGCAGCTTTCGTACTGCCATGCTCTTCCGAAATGGCTGTGGTAAGGACTTTTCTAAATTTTAAAATTAATTCACTGTACAACGAAGACAATGTCGAAGCAAAGAGGGGTGTGAACATTGACGCTCCCAAGATGAGCCAACTCGATCAATTTAGAGACAATGAGGATCGGCTGAATGCTCAATCATATCTTTTAACCTTTTCAGAAAACGAACGACTCAAATCAAATCAAATTGTTTCTAAAAAAAATTATTCTTGGATGACCTTTCTGGATTCAATTGAATCAGAATTTAATCGTTGGTTCGACGTCTTCAATTTCAGGGTTAGAATGCCAGCGAATCGAGAGCCCGACAGCGTGAATTCCCCGTCGTTCAACGACTCCCAGAGTTTTCAAGAAAGCGGAATTTTCGACGGCAGCTGTTCCATCAGCGATGCCGTGAGCGAGTCCACGCAGACCGACGATGCTGACGTGTCTGACGACTGCCCAAAGGTCGACGACGTTGACACCAAGACCCAGCAAAAACGCAAAAAGATGAAGATGATGTCCAAGCCGAAACCCGTGGCTGTTTTCAAAGACGAATCGTCGTCATCCTGCGTAGACTCGCATTCTTCATCCGGCGCGAATGATGACGAGGATGACGAAGAATGCGGGGTTCGCGTGTCCGTTGTCAAGAGACTGGAGTCGGAAAAGGCGAGGCTGGCTGAAGAGGCTGAGAGCTGGAAATCGCGTGCGGAAACCCTTGCGAGAGACGTTGAGGTTTTGTCTCAGAAATTGAGGAATTTGGAATTTGCCGAGAAATCTGCCAGGCAGCAGATCAAAGCGTGAGTGTTTTACCTTCATTATTACCTCGAGAAAATCCCTCCGCGCTCAATTCATTCCACGGGATGATGTGGGCCGCATACAAAAAAAAAGTATAACGACTTAAACCTTATTGTGCTGGAATCTTCGGGAAAATTTCAGTTATGGAATCAAAAAAATAATATTATATTTCGAGTTAATTAGGCGAACGTTGGATAAAGGTAACGTAGTTATAGTAAGCTTTAGATGTCTTTATTCAATACTTGAAATCACGTAAAAAATGGCGCTAACTTTTGTGTTATAGACTGATTCTACGTTATAAAAATCTTTCTACTCTCAAACATATATAGTTTGTTGTCTTTGAAAGTCACTTTTCACGGAAAATACGTCTGTTTTTTCCTCTCTTTTCAAGTTCGCAATGAATCTATGACCATTTTGAATTTTGTCGCGAAGTCCTCTGGTCACTTCAGTACATCTGAAGTGACCAGTGACCATAAATGTATTGTGGGGAAAAGTTGAAATAAAAACCATCCGGTTGATGACGGATGCCTCGCAAAAAGTGAATTTTCTGACCAATCATATCTTATGAATGGTTTGACTCACCTAGGAAATAAAAGGTGAATTCAAACTCCTTTGATCACCATTTGAATGATGCCCCTTCGTATTATTTCAAGTTCATCGGTATAAGTTAGCATCATTAAAAATATGATTGAATGAACGTTAATGAATATAATTATGCGTTCCAATGGAGATCACAGACCGTTCCACATTTAAGATTAGATCGAAAGTGTTACAGTATTGGTTGCCAGAAATTTCCGATAAACGTGATTCGTGCTCGCATAATAAAGTAAATTATAATATTGTATACAGTTGTCTTCAAAGCAGGTAGATGTCACTGGTCATTACAGTAGCCGAGAAGCATTTCCTGCCTGTACAGATTCATCCAAAAACTTGATCTTTTCAGTTCAATTTTCGATGAAATAGAATTATTTTCTTGCATTTCAGTTTAAATCTGGAAACTTCGTCTTCTGCAATGTTCGAAATTCCGTAACTCGGCTGAAACAATTTAAATACTGTAATGCTAAATTTGAATATTTTTTGTGTGTGGTTTAAAGAGGAAATTCCCGACCATTTGAAAACTCGACATTACGTTGCACTCGTGAAATTTTCATGTGGAATAATGCTAACATTCTCTGATGTTTTATTTTACAATTAATGGAGGATATTGAAGGACGTTGGTCACTGCCCAGAGGCAATAGAACTCTGTGCTTCAAAATAACGTTCTAACAAAATCGAAGATTACTCTGTAGTACTACATCACTTCGTCTTTGCAAATGGGTCGTTTGTGTCGAATTGCCTTCATGTTGGTAGATAAATTGTCTGCCGTCATTCGAGATACCTGCACCTGATTGTGCAATGGAAGACGTCGAAAATGAAATATTATGGCGTGCCGACCATTACCCGCGCGCTGGTAAATTGATCGTGAAAATATTACCTTCCGAAACTTCCTGATTGACGGATTCATAAATCGTGTGACGCAAAAAAAATAATAAGAAACTTACGTCGCCGTGGCTGACTTAGCCACGTTGAACTCGCGCAAATGCCGTGATCAAGGAAGAGAGGGCATTCGTCCTTGTTCGTGTCAGTTTGTGGCATTCGTATTCTTCGAGTCGGGGAACTAGATGTGGAAGATAGGCATGAGTTGAGAATTGAGAAAAAGGAAAATTGAAGGTACGAGGAAGTGAATGGGGGGGTTTTTTTCTTTTATCGTGAAGCGATTGTCGCGTCAGACGCCGAAACCTGGGCGCGGCTTTTGAATGCATACTCGTAAGTCGTGTCAGTGAGACAGAGAATTGTTCTTGTTGCGATAACCCATTCTTCAAAATTCTTTTCTCCAACAAAGACAAAGGAATGCAAGAGTTTTCTCGACGTAAAGCCCTTTTTTATTTCAATTTAGTTCGTAAAGTAATTCTCATTTAGCGACATGACATAGGGTAATGAAGTTGACGAGTGAGTTCGACGGAACTTCGTACTTCACGCACTGGCTATTTGGGGCTATCTGTTAGAGTACAGAGGTCGTACTAAACTCCATCTTGACATAAACTGCGTCTTTTCTTCGTTTTTTCTCTCGAATGCTGGGGCTATATTTTCTGTGGCAGAACTAGCAGAAACAAACAAACATTGATCGATAATTCTGAGGCAGAATTTCAAAATAATCAAGTTTCGAAAAGCAAGATTTGTTGTGGAGAGAATGTTTTTCCTCTTTTCAACTTCTATTTTGATTTAAAAAATAGTCTAAACACCACCTTTGTTGGGAGGGATCATTTCTCCCTTTTCATTTCTTCATTATCTTAAATTTTTTATGTTTTTATTTGTGCATAAATTTGTTTTACTCGCTTGTGCTGTTATTCAGTGTTCCTTGTTAAGTGTGTCATTTCTTTGCCTTAAAATTCGACAATAAATTATTTAAAAAAACGAAGAGCATATGTTCAAGGTGTCCCCTTCACTGTATGTTCTTGGCTACAAATTGGCTGATTGCCCCATGTTTCAACTACGTTTTTTTAATCCATTCTTTTGCTGGATTCGATCAATTCTCGAAACGCCTCCTGTACTCAGCTCAAGCTGCCTTGAACATTCCTTCAGCAAGTTTTGACCCCATTTTAGGTGCTTTAAATGATGGAAACTGAACAAATGTTATGAGAACTTTTTGATGAACCTCAGAATAAAGCGTGGGCTTGAATGTTGCACCGAAAACAGGGACGAAATTAGCATCAAACCCATCCATCGCACTTGGATTATCTCCGCTGAACACGGACGAACCCGCGCGTGTGAATTGATACGTTGCGCCTGCCTTTTCTATACCACCGACGAAAATAACTTCCCCGGTTTCTTCCCGTGTATTGTCCTGGATTACAGCTCGTCCCGCCGGTATTTAAATGCTTCGGAAAGTTAGTTTCTAGAGAAAATAATGAGAAAATGTTGATCATTGTCTTGTGCGTGTAGTGTGGTTTGTATGTCACCGTTGCATGGTTCAATCACTTCGCTACGGATCGGGGATGTGGCCCAAGGATGATTTTAACATGAGTGAGATAGCTTTCTTTTTTTGTCTTTCAGTTATCTTTTTTTCTAAAGATCTTCTTCCCACGCAATTTCGGATGTCCTCGATAGGACGAGTTGTGGGAGGGACAAATTCAGATGCGAATCTTGCTTGGCTCATGTTTTTTTTTTTTACTCCCGACAATTTGATGCAGAAAATCGACAGCGGGATTCTATAATTGTATTCCTGTATCTTTTGAGCGATGAATTCGAATGTTTTTTTTTAAAGAATGCTGCAGTAATTTTCAAGGAACTTCCTTGATATTTAACTGCTGTAGTTAACGCCGAGGTCGTGTCATTTCATTCTGCGCAGTTGCCGTTTGAGTGCAAAATGCTTGAGAAATGAAGCCAGAGAGCTTTCTTTTCATTTCCGTGAAAGTAATGGAGTGATGAACTGAAAATGACTTCCAGCTGAAATTTTATCGGGAAGGAAAGTAGCATTTTCCTTCGTCATTAGATCGTCAAACTTCGAACATCTGAAGTGCGAAGATTAATCTATAAGTAGCTGCGCAAAATTGTTTTTCGGCGCGAGAAAAAAAAAGAGACTTGTAAAAGAGACCGAATGTTGTTCGCGTTTTTAAATGAGACGTCTGCCGAAATCGTCGGAACCTAGTTTAATTTTTAAATGAAACTTTTCCCGCGACGTGACGAAGAGATGAAAATAATTACGTCTTGGTTGATTAATATTCTTAACCCCGATTCCAACTCCAATCCTCGCGGTGATTTCGCGCCTGGGTGATGATGAAGAGTGAAATTATCCCCGACGCGAGGAGCAGTTTCATGATGATAAAGGCCGGCTGACGAGATAATAACGCTTCTCCTCTCCCAATTCCTTGAGATATACGAGTAAATTTTTTCTACCTCTCTTTCTTATGTTGATGAAATGCTGGAAAAAATTATTCTGTGGAGTGAAGGAAAAGTTTTTTGCTACCGCAGAGTTGTGGTGGCTCGTGTCTCGCAATTAACTCGGCTAGCCAACATTCCTGCTTTTATTTCAGGAGTGGAGTGGATGTTTTCAAGTTTATTTCGAAAAGCAAGAAAATTTCCAGAACAGTCATTTGTTTTCTATTTGTGAGCTATTTTACAGCAAAAGTATCCCCCTGATCGATGCTCATGTTCAACAATGAGAGCGGAAATATCTTCGAAATACTTTTCCTTTCAACGAACTATTTCTTCATTCTGGGCCTTTTTTTCTGCACTTGATGAATTCGCATGTTCTTTTTCAATTTTCAGTTTTTTTGGGATTTATTTTATTTTCTAAATACAGAATCCCAAGCAACTGAAATCACCTTGGAGGGCAATCTTCTTAATTTTTTTCCGCCGACTCATTTTGCGTGGGACGTGAACAAGTCGTTTGCTTATGAATTTATAAACAGGACGCTGGGAGAATTGGGAAAATAATTTGAATGCATCATTTCACCTTCGAATTACATTTCCAAAATCAGCCTTGGACGGTGACTGGGTATATTCTAATCAAGAAATCTATATTATATTTTAATCTGTACAGTACTACTAAAACTTGCTGAAGATAAATTGAATTCCCCGATATACTGAATAGAAACAGCAGAATCAGAAAATGGAAAGAGTATGTCTGGCATTGGTGTGTCAAGATGGCGATTCATACTGTAATGTTGCATTTTGATGTAAAATTCAGAGCAAGATTGTGCATTTCGCTTACGATCCAAGTACCTCTGTATAAACATTATTTTTTTGCCTCCTTACCCAAGGGCATGTGAAATTCCGGTTGGGTTTTCCGTCGTTAATACGTAATCATTGCATCGTTTCCCATACGTACGAGGACAGTGGGATTTGTACGATTAGAGGAAATGAGCCTGATGTCCGAAAATTCCGCGAAGTACCGTTTGGTCAATCATTGGAACTGGAATTCCCAAGTCTTGGTCTATCAAAAACCGAGCAGAATTTGGGTTTATTTTGTCAGAATCCAACGTCTGCTGCAGAATTCGTTGAAAAAGCTATCACAATGAGTCCCCTAGATATGTGGACGTAAATGGTGCTTGAACCTTGTCCCTATATGTCGGAACGTCCGCAAGTCGGATCACGATTTCCCATCGACTTCCAATTGTAACTAATTCAATTGGTTCTCCAGTTCATCAAAAATTAGAAGCAAATCCCCAAAAATAAAATATAATGTGTTTCTCAATTGAAACATACAAAACATAACTGTGCGAAAGAAAACCACAGAATCTGATCTTGCATAAAAAAAAACCCAAATTCAAAGAGAGAGTACAAATTCGGCGATACGTGCACAGATAATGGAGAATACCCCCAAAATAATTTGTTATGATTTTAAATTTTATTACATTTGTGATACAAATAATTTTAAACTTTGAATGATAGAAATAGCTTGATTTCTTCAAGAGATCTCGAAATTTAAAAAAATATAAAATTCAGTTTCCTAGAAAGGTTGGAAACGTATCCGTATGTCCAGGTATTGTCCAGATGTCGGGTCAGATTTTTTTAACGTTTCAAATGTCCCCAAGTCGAATCATCCGACTGTTTCGGGGTGTCCGTATTCCGGGGTCTCTCACCACGGACCACCGCGTGTCAAGGACTTGAGTCCTCGTAAATGAAAGGTTACAATTTCATTGTCGGGCACAGCGCTTCTTTTTGTGACTAACAACACTTCGGAGGCACCCCTTGACTTATTAGAAGTCTCTTGGAGCTGTGGGAACCGTAGTAGAACGCTTCGACCCTACTCTAGATTTGTGACTGCGGGGGGTATCACGCAGTTGCATGTCAGATTGCAGTCGCGAAGTGGATGGCTCGGGGTCAAATTCGTGGGTCAAACGCTGCTTGTACAGGTGACTTCATCAATGAATAATCTGTAGCCCCTCATCTGGAAAAAGAACGCTTTGCCTTGATGATTGCTGTTGAAGTTAACCTCGTGGCAAGTGGGTTGCGCAAATGTGAGTAAATTTAACTCCGAGCAACCAGAACTACCAATGCGGAAAAAAAAGATGGAAGTCCCTCTGTATCGAAGTGAAATCGATAGTCGGGTGAGCTATTTGAGATTATTTCTGAACATTTGGCATAACTTGCCTATACAGAAAGTCATCAAATATCACGGAGGACGATTTTAAAAAAAATCTATCACAAGGAAGTGATGCAATAAATATTTTAAATTGTCTACATTCATTTCCTCGTGCCGGTGGTGTTCTCACGGCTCCAAGTCGCAAATAGCCCATTACAGTCATCATTAAGTATTGAAATTCTCTCAATAATGAAGTCACATTCGGTCAGAATGACTGAGGCGATTTTCTGTTATTGATGTTAAGCTCCATGGGTTGCGCAAACGTGAGGGAATATCCTCGAATAAATTTCAAACCTGGGTTCCTGTGTCCCCTTTTTTTTATTAACTGAACCGATTCACCGAAGCCTTAGTCGTTGATTATACGAACCTAATTTTCTAGAGTGGGTGGCCTGTGTTGCCTCACATTTAGCAAATGCTGTGTTCTTGTGTGGCACGACGGTAAACAACTCAGCATAATGAAAAAACTCAGTCCATCAGGGTTTTCTCTTCTTACAAAACCCTCAAGCCCAACGAGGCAGTGCCGGCTACTATCTTACAAAGTACATCTATTAAGAAGTTCTCTTTTGCTCATGTTTCCCCAACTTTGTACTCTTTTAACGGAGTTGGCTTGGGTCATCGAGGCGAACCCGGAATCGGGTAGAGGCGCGGCAGGTGGGACAGCTGGGTGCAACTTTACTGGAATATTTTTCAGAATTTTAAATATTTTCCTTGGGTATTCCGCATTTGCGGATTGGGTTTCAGTTCCTCCTTGTACGCATGGCTGCGCAAAGCCGCAGCTTCTTTTTTTTTTCTCCTAGTTTGACGAGAAATAATGAGACGATTCATTTATGTCAAAAATAAGCGGGACAGCTTTCAACGATATTCAATACGATTCGTTGATATTCTGCTTTGATGCGAAAAATCGGGGCTTCAATGAAAATCGTTCCTCGTCGTCTTCAATATCAATTCTCATGAGCAGCAGCTTTGGTCAAAACTCTAATAATATGTGTTTATATTTCGTGCACAGAAGTACATTTATGCATTTTTTTATTAAATGTCCTGTGCGGCCGCTTAAAATATTGCCGACGTCAGTGCGGAGCGGAGTGAACTTTTACAAAAATTATATTGGTAACCTGAGAAACAGCAAGCATGAATAGTTGAACGATATTTTTCGAGTAATGTCACGTGTCTTTATTATCCCAATAATACGGGAGGGGGGGGGGGGTTTGTAAAAGGAGTTCAGTCGAGTTGAAGGTTTCAAAATCAAATTACTGTACACTGGTTTGTTGGAGGAAATATTTGCATGCGACTTCTATAAATTTTGGTTTGAATACATAAACTTTTTTTGGTGATCGGGTCACTTTTTTTGGTGCATTTTAAACCTTCTGAAAACGACGGATTGTTTGCCGAAGTACCTACGAAGTACTGTGTGCTCGTGACGTGTGTTTAATTTTTTCTGCATTACTCGTACGGTAAGGATTTTTTTTAAGTTTAAATTTCCTAACTAACAAAAAACGCGTCATGGAGAAGAAAATCAGAGTAAAATTCATCGAGTGGCGTGGATATGTCTAACGGCATACTCTGGAACACAATAATACTGTATCACTGAAATTCACTCCTCAAGTTGCTAAAAGAAATGTGGAATTTGCGCTGGAATTTTGCATGCGCGTAAAAGATCGCACGGAAATTATAATGTGTCCAAAATGCGAAAAACACACATCGCTGAACTTTGCACAGTTCATGGAAAAATCCCTGAAAAGAGAAGCACGAAACAGCACATTCTGGGCGATAAATTTGAGTAAATTCGAGGTTAGATTTATTTTTGAATACATGTTTTTGGTAGTAGCTGAATTTAGAACAAGATATATCGCAATTTTAAAATTGATACTGTATAAGCTTATTTGTATGAATATTCGGAATACTGTCCACCTCCTGATGGTCCCAATGTCGAGGTAGATTTTTTTAAAGTTTAAAATGTTCGTAATTTGAATTGTCCTCATGTAAGGACGCCCAAATTTCGGGCGGGGTTAAATGGCACTAGATTGTAATTATACGGTCCACAGAAACGTTACGTCATGTCACTCTGGGGTGTACGCCTGTGAAGCTGGACGCCTTTTAAGCCGCATCCCTGTGACAAAAGGGTCTTTTTGTTAATAAAAAAGGCCTGACGTGAGGACACTGACTCGACATAGGGACATTTTGCAGTAAAATTGCAAATGCATTTCAGGCCAAATTACAAGAAACAGATGTTTCAAACCCTAAAATTGATGTAAGAAAAGTTCTTGGGCCTTTCTCTCACCAATTTACCATTTATTTAGCTAATTTAAAAAAATTACCTTCAGCATAAAGGGGACTTCTACTTTCTTTTCACTTGAATTTTATTTTTGTAGATGCCAAAATTTCAGTGTACAGTACAGATGTATACTATTCGATGCTCCAAATGATCTTATTGAGTTGAAAATGTATTTTTCAATTCAAATTCAAGTGGCAAACAATTTTTTTCAGGGAATTCTGAAGTGTATTTCTTCCATAAAACACAAATTAAAAATTATATAATGTAAGTCTATGGGAAAACAATACTCGACTCAGGGACATTTCGACTTGGTGCCCCAATTTACCGTGATCTAACATTAATATGCCAGGTGTCTTTGCAATGCAGTACAGTGAGACCCCACATGCGGACACTTCGACCTGCGGAAAATTCGGCGTAGGGACACTGTTTTCCCAGAAAAATGTAATAAAAAAGGCCTGACGTGAGGACACTGACTCGACATAGGGACATTTTGCAGTAAAATTGCAAATGCATTTCAGGCCAAATTACAAGAAACAGATGTTAGTCGTTTCTTGTAAAATTGATGTAAGAAAAGTTCTTGGGCCTTTCTCTCACCAATTTACCATTTATTTAGCTAATTTAAAAAAAATTACCTTCAGCATAAAGGGGACTTCTACTTTCTTTTCACTTGAATTTTATTTTTGTAGATGCCAAAATTTCAGTGTATAGTACAGATGTATACTATTCGATGCTCCAAATGATCTTATTGAGTTGAAAATGTATTTTTCAATTCAAATTCAAGTGGCAAACAATTTTTTTCAGGGAATTCTGAAATGTATTTCTTCCATAAAACACAAATTAAAAATTATATAATGTAAGTCTATGGGAAAACAATACTCGACTCAGGGACATTTCGACTTGGGGACACTCTTGATGCACCAATTACGTCCGCATCTCGGGGTCTCATTAATTCGGGTTTTCTGCGATTTTTGGAAACTCCTCAAAATTTCCTCTTGCGCATGCCATAGTACACCCCGACTGTGTTCCACAATCATCCTTTTCTTCCTCTTGACCCTTTCCAGTCGTTCCCCCTTCTCTTTTTCATCCTGCCATTGAAAATTCCTAGTGACCTAAAAAGGTAAGGAGGGAAAAAGGGAAACACCAGAGTGGAAACGCCATCAACTGCATTGCGCGAATAGGAGGCGCACAAAAAAAAAAGTAGCGTGAGGGAAACAAAGACCGATGATACTGCTAGCTCACGGCTGCTCGCCGCGCGGTTTCCGTCCTCAGCTCTTGCTCGTGTACTGCTCACTAGAGCAGTTGTGCTGTTCTGTGGTGGCGAAAGAAAAGCAGGAGAGTGAGAAAAAAAAAATTTGGCGTCTGTGAAATCGATTGCGTTTTCTTTTCAAGTTCCGCTTTCGTGTGTGTACGTGTGTGTGTGTGTGAGTGTGTGTGTGTGTGCGTATTAATGGTGTTGAGTGCGTATCGAGGTTTCCGAGAAGGAGCTTGCTGATTTCGGAAAGCTCTTACGAAATCGCTACGCGTTGTGTGTCGAGCTTTACGAAAGGAAAAAAAAAAGTGTTCCCTTGATTCAGGGATTGCGAGACATTTCTTTTTTCCTCTCTTTCTCTCTCTCTCTCTCTTCCTCCGTATTTTTCCACTGATGGTCATTGATCCACGAGAAAGAGACATGTGCAAATTATATTTTCGTCAATATATCTTTTTTTTTTTCGTGAATGCAGGAAATTGATTACGGATTGACACACGCACGGTCCGCACAGGCGCTCACACACATGCCTTTCTCTCTCTCTCTCTTTATATATGGTCTCTGAAATGATCCTCTGGAAAGTGAACAAATTAATTCAATTCTCCCTTAGCTAAACGTCGGCTCGACGAATACGTAAATGCTTTTAACGTGAACTCTTACTTCTCCTTTATCAAGCACCATATTAAACTCGTATAGCAAGATGTCATGTCATATGCCTAAGCAGCAGCACAACGCACGCAGTACTTCAGTATTTTCATGCGCAGTTTCCTGTCAGCGTTGATGTTTGTCACACGAATTCTGAGACAATCTATGAAAAATTCTCTGGGATCTGATCGAAAATGTATTGATTTCAACTTTTTATTTTATTTTAACGTATGATTCGGAGGGTGCTCCTTTTCTGACCAGAAATGCTGAAGGTAAACAATTCTTAGTACGGTAATACTGTACTCGAAAACCGGATTTTTTTATTTAAGAATAAGTATTCCTTAATTACATTTTTACGTTCGTACTTAAATTGCAAATACTGTACTACTGTTTGAAAAATTATTGTCGGAAAGTCCAACTGAATTAGTCAAGGAAAAAATTTAGATTTACGTATTGAGTTATCTCTTCTTGATGCTTTAGGATTTTTCCGTAAATTAGGATAGGTTCTATGGCATAAAAGCGTATAAAAATAGGCACCACTTACGGCATGTTTTCAAACTTAGATACTTTCTTTGTACAACGGATAAGTGTTCTTTTTGAGTTCTTAAATTCGGCCTGGGAGCTTTTGATCGGGAGTAGGATTCTAAATAATGAATATTATTTTGCTTTTAAATACATGACAGCAAGCTTTTAAGTATACGTAGTGCTAACTGAGCAGCACTTCTTGTTTTTACCATATTCGATTTTATATGATATATTTAATGTGTTCTGTATTCAACACACATTAAAGTATTTTCCGCCGCATTGAACTTGCTCAAAAATTCGGGTTTCTTGGCCGGGAAAGTGCGGCCTGTAGTCGAGTAAAAACGGATCAGCATTCCGTCAAAATTATGCAAAAGGGATGTTCGATGCTTTTTGCAATGATTTTCGATCAGTGTGAATTATTCAAAGATTGCAGGTTTGATGATTTCGAATTCTCTTTTTTTGTATCCATTCGGAAATAGACTCGAGAATCAGCTGACTCCGTTGTCACGCACGACGACTCATTCATCCACTGCAGTGTCGACTGGTGGAGTGAATGTCGTGTCGGTGAGCCTCAACTCGGGCGTCGACGACGGCAGACGTCAGCATCAGGAAAGTAGTTCCGGCAGTGACAGTGAAGAGCCGCGATGGTGCGAAATCGCTCAGAATTCCGCCGACGTCACGGTCATTAAACTCTGCTCGGCTTCTTCTTCTCCTGTGCCTTCAAACTGCGGGGACTTCGTGTCAAGCAATCCCAACGGTGAGTGATGTTCAAAGACATTTTCAACAAGTCATCATAGATGACATTTGACACGATTATTCTTGCAGATAAATTCCTCTCGTTGCGCGAAGTTTTAAGCTTGAATGAAACTGTAAAACCGAAAAGAACATGTGATCGATTAACTAGGCCAAGCATTGCAACCCTGCGTTTATTACTATTCTGGAGAGCTTTTTCGATGGAAGTTCAGACTATTACTAAATGAAATAACGTTTTGTTCACTACATTGAATACTGTAAAGCAAACTTCACTGTCAGCATCACTTCACCACAAAATTTTCTCGCGTCATAATCTTGGAAATTCTTCCCTGAGAAGCAATTTTTAAGCATTTGGTAGCCCTTTTAATTTGAAAATTCACTAAACACGAGCATTTTAAATAAGTGACTTGCATTTCCCCATATTGATGCAGTCACCTGGATTTTTCCAATTCAAACCCCGTACTGGTCGGGTAATGGGTGAAAATTACTCCTTGCAAAATAAGCATACATAAGTATACATGAAGTAGAGTATTTCTATTCATTCTGGCGAAGTACCAGGCTATTTAAACGCGTAAAGAAATCCTTCGTGCATTTTTTTTTATAAAAACGCGAAACGTTCGATTTCGACGTGGAAGCGTGCAAATAGTTTTCATTTCATATCGGCAACATTTGACTTCCACTTCCATCCAAGAGATTTTGGTTGAATTTAATTTTGATTGGCTTAGTTACGAAAGCACGAAAGCACGATACGAAACCAAATACTCGTTCCTCATAAAGCAAGAAGTGAAATTGAAATAAAAAGCTCTCCCAAGTATGCTTGTACCGAATGCTGAAGCGTCCTAGTTCCAAATAGTTTTTTTGCATCCCGCAATTGACGGTTTTTAAGTTTGATCAATATTGTATCCTCTTTGATGACGGAAATTAGCCTGTGTTGTGCTTTTCTAGTTGAAACATGCCGGAAATATTTACTTAATGCTGCAGTAATCTTATTTTCTGCAATATCCCACTTTCCGCGGAAGTCCTTCATTCGTCCTGATAAGGTAATCTTCCTTTTCCGGTCGCTGAGTTCTTTGGCTGACCGGCTTTTTGCGTGGTCAGCTCTGAAGGTGGAATTGTGAAATACTGTCAAATTATTCGAACGACTGCTCGAAAGTTTTTTCAATTGATCTGCCAGAAATTTGAGCCAACTGCAGTCGATTTTTTTGGCACGGCTGATTTTATATTTGCCGGAGAAATGTTTTGGCATTTTTCGATTCTTCGTCGCTCTATTTTCAAATATGTATAGTACTGTAATTCAAATGATCTTATGAGTTTGATCGTTACACTGACGACTCGAATTTCTCAAGATTATAGTTTTATTCCGCGAAATTGAATTGAATTTTTTTTAAATTTGGGATCGATCGGGATCGATCAATTGACCATCGATCATCGAATTTATGCGGAACTGTGGCGAATGAAGTTCAGATTATTGTGAATTGAACAAGAAAACAGTTTCTGCTAAATACTTTCAATGATTTTGTCCCAAAGTGGAAAACCATGTGATTTATTAACGTCGTTTTTCCGGGTTAATACTTGAGCTTATCCATTGAATGCATTTAATTTTTGGGAAATGAATAGAAAGGAGACACGCTTCTGTCAAAAAATAAAATAGATGCCGATTATGACCAAGTCGATGGATGCGTTGCAGGCGAGGAAACGGCGACAGTGACGAAGATCCGCGTGAACGAAGACCAGCCGGGCAACAAAGTCTCGCTGATCGTCAATGACGATGCCGGGGTGACGAGCATCAGCGTCAGTGGCGGCGTTGGTAACAGTGCCGTCGGCCACGACGACGTGGACATGGTGTCTTCGTCGCCGCCTCCGATGACGCCCATTCGATGCCGCCCAGGAACGGCTCAAGACCGCGAGAAATTCTACTTGGGCAAAATCAAGGCTCTGCAAGCAGAACGTAACCAGCTTCGCAAAGACGCCGAGGTGGAGAAACAGAAGGCGTTGACTGCGACTGAACAGCTCGCGTGTAGTCTGCGAGACAGTCAGGTCAAGTTGGAGGCCTTGGCCAACTCCCTCAGCCAAGTGCAGGTCAGATTTACGTGTACAGTAGTTCAGCGGGGTTTTCTGTCCTCCAATCTAATGGGGGTCTTGGGAAAGATTACTGTCTTCCAGCATCGTATAGAAATCACAGAAATAATTCCTGTGTCCCCGCGAAAATGGCGAGGAAGAGAACTGCTGGTTTCTAGAAGCCAATTTCACATCGAGGTAGCAAAATATTGGTACCTCTGAGTTATCGACAAATACATAAGAAAAATGTTCCAGAAAAGGTAATGCGAGGAAGATTCTAAGTGAAAGATGCGAAACTGACTTGAAAGAAGGAAAGACAGAAAATTCTTTGCCAAATGCCTATCTTTAAATGTAAGTGGCACCTCAAGGTTGCTGAAATAATGCACTCATAAATATAAAATCAGTTAGGATATTTCATCACGTCTAATTTCTTGCACCCACGCTTTTCTCCCCTCAAATTTAATCGAAGCTTGCGTCATTCAATCGATATTTTTCGACATAATGAGCTCGAACTGATCTTATGAACGCCATAATTTATCCATCATCGGCACGTTTACTTTCACGAATACGCCAAATAAACCTCGTTGATCGACGATTATGTGAGCTTCTATACGAACTCATTGCAAGAACTGCAATTTCTTTCGGACGTTAAGTTCCGCTTGAAAAGCATTTCGTCATCATTTTCTCGAAAGGTTATTGGTTTTCAAAAGTGATTCCGTGTTTCCCTCAAAAATAGAGCCTGTTTTAGACTCAGAAAATGATGTATCGCTGTATTTTTGGAACTGCCTAACTAAAAGCACTTCAAAACACTCCTATAAACCTGTGAAAATGGCCTCGCTTTCATAAAATATAGATGAGATACTTTCGGCGTATACTGCTGTACATCAGACGAAATAATCTTTTAAAATTTTCGTTGAAGCAGGCAGTAACTTTCAGTTTGTCCAGAAATGATCCTTGATAGGTGTTCAGGTTCATGAGAATGAAAGTCCGCTATTTCCTTCAAGTTTGGATCGCTTCCACGTCGGAGCTCAGAATTTCTCCCTACTGATTTAAGAGATGAAGTTGTTTGCATACGGTACTTATTTTTTTATCTTGCTTGAGCCGAATCATTTCCCTTTTATTTCCGATTTGCGCGTTTTTTTGTGCAGTGTTGCGCGTCAGAATTTTAGGAAATACGTCGAAAAAACAGCAATACCACTTTTGATTCATTGAAATGTATTAACAATATTGAATTGGATTATCCGGGCTTAGAGACATAATTATAAAGCATGTTCTGTAGTTCTTTTTCAATTCTGTACTGTTCAAAGGCGTGATACATTTTTTCTATACGTTTCTATGATGCAGGTGGCGAAAGATGATTTGGAATACAAGTCTTCCTTGGAAAAAGCTGAACTGGATCGTCGCTTGAGTGAACTGAAGACTCAGAGCGACATTTGGCACTCGGAATGCAAAATTCTCTCAGACAAGTGTGACCACCTGGAAGCGGAATTGTCCCGGTCGCGAGAATACGCGGAAAGCGTCGAGTCATCGTGTGTCTCTCTCAAAGACCTCGCTTATCTCTGGCAAATTCTCGACATCCACGACGAAGACGCCGCTGGTGGTGGCACCAGCAGCAATTCTTCATCGGGTCCTGCGACTGCTGACGATCGTCCCGTCGACAAATACGTCAGAGGAATCCGAGCCCGGGTTCTCGAGCTCCAGAAGAAGGACGCTGCATACCAGCATACTTTGAGAGAAGCTGACAGGATCGTGGCTGACGTGGAATCGCGGTACCGAAGTCAGATCGCCGACCTCGTCACTGAGCAAACGAAGCTCGTGTCCAAGGTTTCTTCCCTGGAGCAAATCAACAGCCAACTGCGCCGCCATGTGCCGAAAACCTCTGGTAACCCATTGGACAAAGAAATGGCGCTCCTCGAGCAACTAGTTTCTGTGGAGAACTCCAACATGAAGCTCAAGGAGCAGCTCTTGGACGCGGAAAAATGCGATCGCGGCCGGTCCATGCGCATCCTGGAGCTCGAACGCGAAATCACAGAGCTCAAGCACGTTTTGCGCGAGCAGGACGAGCTTTTGGGTCGAATCGACTCCTTACAACGAGACAATGCCCAGCTGCGTGTCGACAACGAGTTGTTGGCTCCGGTTCGGCGACAGTTGAGTGATGCCAAAGCCAAGATCCGGCTCCTCGAGGCTCGGATCGACGAGTTGGAAGAGACCGAAAAGAGTTTGCAGGGCACTGTGGAGCGGGCGACGCATTTGCTCAAGTCCAAAGATGACAAGTACTTGGCTGAGATTGGGTGCTTGAAGTCCCGGCTGGACGGTGTCAAACAGCAGCTGGAGGCGAAGGAAGCTGAAGCCGTGAGGTGGAGAGCGGACGCGCACGCGTTGAAGGAACAGCTTTCCGGCAAGGACCTTGAGGCCAAACGGAAGGGAGACATGCTGCATTCCATGGAGGAAACTCATCGCAATGAAGTGAGTGCAAATTCTTCATTCCCGCGTAATCCTTTTGTAAAATGCTCTTACCGTTTTGCTCATGGAAACCTCCTGGTGTGAAACCTTGAACCTATGGGTCACGATTAAAATGAAAACCTCTCGCTGCGTATGTCATTTATATCCCATTTTTCATGTCGTTCGCGCGGCATTAAATCTATCGAACCTGCTGAATATGCACATCAGCGATGCGTCAAAAATGAAAGTCCTTGCGTTCCACCTAAAGGTCAATGCTACCTGTTTATCTTAATAATAATGAAAATTTAAAGTCACATATCAGAAGGAAATTTTAAACCGTGTCGAACAGTGTAATTTTGCAGATGAAGACTCTTGCAGTGGGGGGAACGAAGATCATCACTTTAAAATTCCTCAATTTAAATCAGCTGTATTTTTTTTGGTCGGCTTGCTTCTTTTCTTTTTTTGTTTTTGTGGGAACTGCGTTTGAAGAAACGCCACTCGGAAATTATGCTTTCAAATCTTCGAAAGAATCTGCAGTGCACTTGTGTTGACATGTTGTGAAGTATTTGTCTTGTCAACTTCCACTGAAATTTCTATTTTGGTACATGGAAGATGGAAGTATCCAGGTTTTCACTTTTGAGAGTTGACACTCCGAGATTAAATATAGTGAATTTATCTCGGCTCGAAACGTCGAGTTGATTCTTTTCCATCATGCTGATGAACAAGTGGATCTAGTCATCATGTTTTCGAAAAGAGAACGACGATCAGTCACTTTTTGTCTCTCCTCAAAAAAAAAATGTGTGTCTTTGATGGAATCAGAAACCATGCGTTTTGTTCATTGTCGAAAGATCCTCGATAATGTTTCTCGGTCACGGACTTGAACCATTTTTATATCTGTGCCAATTTATCGCTAGAGTTTGATTGGATGATAAATCGCGGGTCGCTGTTGGCTTGTGAGCATTAACCGATTGAAATAACGCGACTTTCACAGTCTGAAAAGCCCGATGTCACTTATTTTGAACGCTCTGGAGTGTTTTTCCCCCCATTTCTTTTGCGTGAAAAGGACATGCTTCCTCTTCGCCTTTGTTTATGTTCCACGCTTCGACGAGTGTGTGTTCACCGGCTTCCTCCGCTTCATGTTTTTTTCCCCCTCTTCGATTTTTCGTGATCGCTCACAAAATTTTCCATTATGTTCTGTCAAATTATTTGCCGATTTTGGTCTCCTACGCTGGATGAACGTTTCCTGCCCCGAATTCGACAGTATTTCAACTCGAGCAGTGGGGAAATCTCGTATTGTTTGCATTCAAATGGAGACCACTCGTGCTTCGATCCTTTGTTCTCGCTATATATAGAAGGCGTTGCTCTATTTTGCCGTTTCGGTTCAACTGAAGCGCGAAAAACAACCAGATGGTTTTAAAAGTTTTCTACAATTACCTGTTTCATTTGGAACGATTTCCTCGAGCTGGGTTATACAGTACTTTTTATTTTAGTCGCTGAAAAAGGGTTATGTTTACGGTACAGTAAACTCAAGAAACTTAGTAAAAATTCTTTGCATCGAAAAAAAAATTGATACAGTAATAATACTCATCATATCTGGCATGCGCAGGCAAAAAAAATTCACGAAGGTGAGCTGAAAATTTAACTTCGTTCCCCATTCCCAAAGATAATTCTCAATCAGACCCATGTTATATAGAGCAAATTCATGGGAATTCTCCTGTGGCTTTAGAGTAATTAAATGTATGCCATCTTTCGTATGAAAATTGCATGCATTGAAATGCAAAATCGGTCCTCAAATTCTAAAATAATTTATTAATCGTAAATTTTATTACCGTTTCATCATTTGAAAAATTTCCAGCAGGAAAAACATCGGAAGATGTAGATAAAAATGAAAGGAACCCCGCTTTGTCGTTTCAATTGTTGCCAATTGAAACGTATTGCAATTCTATTGCTGGAACCCTTTTTTATGATACGTTGGGCAATTCGAAAGATTTTCGAAAACGCCTTCGTATATTTCGAAGAACTCGCATTTTGGAGGTTTTGTGATGCAACCAAGCGTACTTACCGTAACGTGAGAAAATCCTTCGTGAAAATCGCACCATTTTCCCGTCCTCGGAAGTATTAACCGGTATCTCCTAACTTGAAAATACCTTCAACGCAAGCTTCATAAAAAAAAAATTGCCGCACTGCTGTAATTATTTTCTTTAAATGAACGATAATTCCGAACTCATAACAGGTCTCTTAGTTTTTTAAATATGAAATAATTCATTTTCGAAATGTCTGGAAAGTAATTCATTGGCGGTGCGAAGAGGATTTTCGCCCGATCCGATTTTTCATTACTTCAGTTATTATTTCAAGCAGATTTTTTGATGATCAGATCAGTTCGAAGGACTGTCATCACTTCCTGCCTTCCACGTCGTGCAATTTTTCCATGCAGCTGATTTTGTTACCGTAGGTGATGATTGGAAATTGAAGTCATAAGTAAATAAATCATTACACCTTCCATCCTTGCGTAATTTTAGAATTGCTTGTGTTATGACATTTTTTCGAATATTTCAGATATAAAACAGACTCGAACTTTATCTATTGATGCTTCAAAATTATCTATGCTGCGAACAGTAAAAATTTTGAAGGTTCCGGAGTAATAATTTCATGTTAAAAAAAATTTTTTGAAAAATTAGAGGAGTCTTCAATGGATACAGACAATAAAATTGATTCGAATTTCTGCACAATATTTCGAAGAAATGTGGGAAAGAGTAGAAGAAGGTTTATTCTATTGCTGATACCTTGCGAATTTAAATCTGACGAACTGCGAATTGAAATCGGATATACTATGGGATCTCTCATCGAAGAGACACGCGGAATGCGGATATTATGACTTATAAATTAGGTCTCATTATCACATTCCTATTGAAATGACGCTCTGCTTGTATAATTTCTAGAGAAATCAAGCACTGTACCTTGAGTTTTTTTTTTTTTTTGCGAGCCAGGGTCCAAAGAATTTTTTTATGCTCGTATTTTAATTTTGAAAAGAAGGCGTTGGTCTCGAGATGCATGGGCTGCATGACGCACCCGATTCAAGGGAAATTGCTCAATGCACTCACCAATGCTGGTGTCCAACTCCCTCGGTTTCCTGTACACCTCACCATTACCTTTGAAATCGCTGATTTTGCACGCGATATTTCCCACCGCATGCGTGAGACTCGCGTGACGGAAAATCCAATGATCGAGCGACTCCCGAGGTCGGAACACGTCGGGTGTCCGCCAACAGGTCACGGAAAACCGCGTCTGTTGCTGCATTTGTGTCTGATATCTCTTCCTTCTTTTGCAGTTTCGAACAAAAATTCCCTCTTCATCAATGTGGATCTGTGTTATATTCCTGTGATTTCTTAGATTATCTGTATGGGCGTTAAAAGTTGGATCTTTTAACTCGAAAAAATCGCGTTTTCGTCAAAGGATATGCTGTACAGTAGTTGAATCATTTGTGCGTACCTTCTAACGCGTATTTCAACCAAATCGTACCTACAGCGTTGAAAAGAAGAACCACCTTTTGTAAAATTAGCTGTCCTGTTCGGTGAAAGACTTTTTTGTGAATTTCTACATTATTAATGACAGTATTCAAGTTTTTCTGTCGTCCCCATGGCTAAATTACTTCAACATTTCAGCCAGATACTGTACTCGCATACTGCGTCAATTATGAAAAATCCAAAATGTCCGCATGACTTTTCTCGAAAAAGTACTGTATTACGTTACTGAAATAAAAGTACTGTACTACGTTACTGAAATGACAAACAGTTCCAAAATCAGGAATGCTGCTGCTGCTAATTTACCATCTGATTAAAGTTGGCTCTGCTATATAAGTGTGCTTGATTCGCCGCATCTTTATTTCGAATTTTAGAAAATTTATTAGAAATGTGTATGGAATTGAAGGCATGAAATCGATAAACAGCCAGATCCAATTATACGAAATATTCAGGAATTTCTTCGATTGCGGAGGAGTTTTTCACGACGGAACTCTGTTGTGTATAGTTATGTGATAAAATAAAAATAAAAACTCGGAAAGCATTAGTTTCCAATGAGTTCGGAAACTTCCTTATAATGGCGCGCTTCACGTATTTGCTTAAACTTCTCTCATTTTCCGAAATACTTCGATTGAAATAGAAGCAGATCTTCGAGTAACGGGTCGTTCAACGCATTGAACTATCGGCGTGGTTTCTTGAGAAGGCGGAATTGGAATTTTTTCATTTGAATATTTTTTTTATATTCGAGTGCCCAACCCTTTTATTTTACCGCTCGAAATTTCCACCGGAATGAGTTCGCTCGTGCCTGTGATTTTTCTGCCTTGTCCTGAGGGACACAAGTAATGAACGGTCATCAGAAACGTCCTTCAAATTCCCTTGGAAACGGCTCAAAATCTCTTTTTTTTTATGTGTACGTGCTCGCGGATCAGTGATTTCTCCTGCTGTTGAGAAATTCCAGTATAAATGAGGGGTTCTTTGAAGGAAAAGCGGGATATTTTTCTTTCTGATGTTTGCCGTCATACCGTGCGGGTTTTTCACCCGTTGTGGTCGAGATCGCTCATTCATTTCCTTTCCAGGTTTACATTTCCGCAGTTCCAGGCCAGAGTCTCAATTGGAGCAGTGTGATCCGTGAAGGAAAGTTTGAATTCACCTTTCGTATTAGATACGATAAGGACAACATTGCAAAGATTCCGTTCGTCAAACTTAAACCATTGTCTTCTGTAATTCCTTGAAATTCCGTGCTAAGATGACATGGTTTTTGTAATCACAGGGGTTGAGATAAGCCTTCAATGTTTTTTCTCCACGTTGGAACATACGGAATAGTTGAACTTAGTTTTCATCATGTAGGTGATCACTCATACTTTTTTTTAAATAGTTCATTAAGAATATTCAACTAACGATTTCTGGCAGAAGCGTAGAACGCATCATCGGATTCTAGGAAGTCAGAAAAGTGTCTCCAATTTAAAGATCCTGATCAAAGATACCGGAACTCAGAGTACACTTTCAACATGTGACCTTACTTCCCGAAAAAGAGTGCAACGAGACTCAAGTGACATCTACACAATTGTGAAGAAAATTTCGGAGGCAAAGAAAATGGAAAATAATTTCAAAATACCCGTATCGCATTACGCTCATAGATGTGGGGTTTTCGGTGCGTGATTTCCAAAAGAAAAAAAGAATACTGTACTTTTATAGTACGATTATCGCTTTTCGTTATATCCGCGGTGTGCATTTTATATCCTCGTAATGAAACGCGGGAAACCGGGAAGATTGGAGGCATCGCTGCGTATTTTTTCACGAAGAGAGGGATTCATTAATTAAATTACGAAAAGATAGCGGAAG